TGAATGAAAAGCGCCCAAGATGAAAATTTATTAACTTCTTAGTAAAGATGTTGTCGTGATCTGCTGGCTACGCTGACAAGACATGACGCTAGGCTTGATAGATTGTACAAGCATAATTTTTGGCATTAATTCGTCATTAGATGCACAATTTTCATCTATCTTCCGAAAAAAGCACTGCTAGCATAATTTGCACTTTTGGCTGGTTTTGCAGCTCAAAATTATCATTTTTTGATCATGCAACCAACCTTTTTTGGCCTGAGAACGGTTTCGACAGAATTGCAGACACATTTAAGCAACAAATTAATTTTTTTCTCTGCTTATTGTCACATTCATGAGACCTGAATGAAAAGCGCCCAAGATGAAAATTTATTAACTTCTTAGTAAAGATGTTGTCGTGATCTGCTGGCTACGCTGACAAGACATGACGCTAGGCTTGATAGATTGTACAAGCATAATTTTTGGCATTAATTCGTCATTAGATGCACAATTTTCATCTATCTTCCGAAAAAAGCACTGCTAGCATAATTTGCACTTTTGGCTGGTTTTGCAGCTCAAAATTATCATTTTTTGATCATGCAACCAACCTTTTTTGGCCTGAGAACGGTTTCGACAGAATTGCAGACACATTTAAGCAACAAATTAATTTTTTTCTCTGCTTATTGTCACATTCATGAGACCTGAATGAAAAGCGCCCAAGATGAAAATTTATTAACTTCTTAGTAAAGATGTTGTCGTGATCTGCTGGCTACGCTGACAAGACATGACGCTAGGCTTGATAGATTGTACAAGCATAATTTTTGGCATTAATTCGTCATTAGATGCACAATTTTCATCTATCTTCCGAAAAAAGCACTGCTAGCATAATTTGCACTTTTGGCTGGTTTTGCAGCTCAAAATTATCATTTTTTGATCATGCAACCAACGTTTTTTGGCCTGAGAAAAGTTTCGACAGAATTGCAGACACATTTAAGCAACAAATTAATTTTTTTCTCTGCTTATTGTCACATTCATGAGACCTGGGTCCCAGAAGAAATGACTCAGAACTCTTTTCACAGGACTCAACGTATTCGCATAACTAGCTCAGTTACCCAAGATGACGTCCGCAAACTGGTTGCTATATTTTAGAGTTTTTAAAGTTGTCATACAATAAATTATACACTGGTAAAGTTTCCTCTGATAATTAGGGTGAATGTGTTTGCCATTTACTTGTTACTTGAATAGTCATTGAGGTGTTTTTACCAAATTCATACCTTTTATATTTTTTACTAACATGGACAAAAACTAGCATAATGATGGGCATAATTTTCAAGGAGAAATGTACTAGCTTTGCTCGTAGCATTGCGAGTACAATCTGTCACAGCCTACACGAGGCACTCAAAATTTAGGAGGGGTCCAGGATTCTTCTTAGGAGGGGCTGCACCACTACCATTTTAACTACCATTTTTAAGGCGTTGAACATAAATTCTTCAACCTCTTCTCATGTTTTACTTCATTGCCAATAAACCGCAAAGTTTTTTCGCAGAATACTAGATGTATTAGAAAGCTGCAAGGGGGGGTGCACAACCTCCCCCTAGCTCATAGGCGTACGGGAAATTTTTTGCTAAGGGGGGTGGTAAACCATTTGCCCAAAAAATTGTCGCAAGTTGCCCAAATTGTTGCGAAACGTACAGTCGACAAGAAACAAGGGCCATACGATGCAACAACATAGGCCGTACTGACATATGAAGGTGGATCGATACCGTAACAGTTTTCAGGGTCAATACCTCCCAATTCTGAGCATAACTACGTCACCATAGACAAACATTTGGAAAAATTGCCACCACAGTTTTATTAGGTAAAGATGAAAATTTGTCATGATCAGGAATGCAATGACATCGGAATTGTCATAGCAACGAAATGACGCCATTGCATTATTTTACTTGCAGCAATATTTCTCAGCACTGGGAACTGTTCTTACAAATCTTTTATGGAAGCTTTTTCCTCAAATAGTCGCCTCGATGTTCGTGAAGTTAAAACGGAAACTGTGAGAATGTTATTGGGATATTTTGGCATGAAATTTTCTCGTTAGAAATATGGTAAAAATGGAAAATCTTGATGTTTGGCAGTTATCGAACTGAGAACTAGTCAGCCACTTCTTCATTTTCAGACCTATTGCTGATGCTATCTGCTATACACTGTTCTACGAGCGGACATGATTCTAGAAAGATATGCCGAAGATTATTCCAATCAATACACGAGTGGAAAAATCCCATTCCAGTTAGTGCAGTGCAAAACAGTGCTCAACAATAAAAAACTATAAAATAATATGTAAATCACCATATAATACCCTTCCCTAATAAACAGAAACTCATTACGTGCTAGGCAACCAATGTCTTGAGAGAATGTAACTGGATTATTACGCCGACTTCAGGATTTTTTTTTCAGATTAAAATAGAAAATATTTATCTCTTCAAAATAATAAAAAAACAACATGGAAACGTCTTTAAAACCTGGCTTTGCCCAAATTTCTCTTGCTGCCCAAAAAATCCAAGTTGCCCAAAAGTTGGGGGGGCTGCAGCCCCCCTCGCCCCCGAGGCCCGTACGCCTATGCCCTATACTAGCTCTCCCCTGAAATTGGACTATTGGCTTAGCTCTACCTTATATTATACTGTTCTTTTAAAAAGTTAAAGAAATTCTTTTTTCTAATAATTAAATAAACAGTCACTGTACTTGACAGCTTTCGATAGGCAGATCTCGATACGATGGTATAAAGTCCCAGAAATCGACTTGTTCATTTTAGATACTCGGAGTAGACAAAAAACAAAGCAACAATAGAGCGATTTTCGTATGACCTTGAAATGAAACCGCGCAAACAAAACAGAAACAACAAATGAACGGAAATAGAGTGATTTGATTGGTTTATAGAACAGACACAAACGCATGTGGCTTTTGGTTGGTTAACGCGGTGAAAAAACGTCATTCCTGAGAACTTTCTAGAAAGCAATCGATATTGTGCTTTGACGTCATATTACTACGATTGGCCAATCGAACAATGCTTTCTCCATATTAGGGTTTTCTTTGGCGGAAAAACTAAGAGTCCATGTTTTGATCTTTTCATCCATTGACTGATAAAACAAATAACGAACATTTAACGAAACTATTTTTCAAGGTCATGCGAAAATCGTTCGAAATGACGTTAAGAGCAAAAATCTCTTGCCACTAATACTTTGAAAAAATTCAAGGTGTATATTAAGTTGTTTTCTTGAAATAAAAAATGTGTCAAAAGCATTTATGGTGTTTTTGTGAAACTACAATTCTAAGTAATCATTGGAATTGATTAAGAATCCAATTAAGCTGGAAAATCATATGTATCACTAGAAGTTCATTCTTGTTCTTAAGCTATTCAGTAAGTGTACAACTGAACACTCTCGTCATCTTTAACTGAAAGAACTCAGTTTTGACAGTTTTGTTTCTCACCTGACATGGTTAACTTGGTGGTTGTGGACGTCTTGAAAATAAGGTCACAACGTCCCCCTCGGTAATCAGCAAGGGGGTATCAGTGGCTTACGGACCGCTTAATACAGGTTACACACTGTAACTGTTGTACTAATACCATACTAATGCAAATTGTCAAAGTGACAGTTTAACAGGGGTGAAGAAAATGAAAAATAACTTGTTGGGACCTCGAAAAAGGTAACCACAAGTTAACTTTATAATTAAACAAAGTGATTTCCGGGACTTTGGTAAGTGATTGACTACGAAATACAGGTTCGCTTAAAACAGGTTTCGCTATACCC